AGTCGGGGAGGGGAGGTTGCGCGGGAGCGGGATCGGAGTCGCGACGAAGAAGAAGAAGATAAGAAGAAGAAAAGAACGAAGAGAAAGAAGAAGAAGAAGATAATTGGAAGAAGAAGAAAAAGAAAAAGAAAAGAGTAAAAAAAAACAAAAAAAAAGTTCGTCGTCGATTACTTATCCGCGCGGAGGTAGCAACGACGATGACGAGGATGGCACGGCGCAGCGACGAGGACAATGGGCACGGCGATGGTGATGTGGCACGACGACGACGATCGCGACGGTGACGATGATGACGTGGCACGACGACGACGATCGCAACGGTGACGATGATGACGTGGCACGACGAGGACGACCGCGACGATGATGATGTCGTGGCACGGCCACGACCAACGCGACGATGATGCTGATGACATGGCACGATGGCGATGGTCTCGATGATGACGATGATGACCTGGCGACGACGATCTCCGCGATGACGACGATGACGTGGCACGCGACGATGGCGATGATGAAGCCAGGTGGATCGGGCGGGTCGAACCGCTCCGATACCAGTCTAACGATCCGGAGGCTAAGGGAGAGCCGAGGGAGAGGAGAGAGAGAGGGAGAGAGTGAGAGCACACACACACTCACTCACTCGACATGACTGAGGGTCGGACGCAGACACAGTGGGCAGGGCACAAAGTCCAAGTCTTGGATTCCCGAATGCCAAAACAGCAAGTCACCCTGAGTACGAGTACAGTAGCTGGAAACTGGTACGAGACTGGCCCCCCTACCGTACAAGGAGACGGTATAAGTACCGGTGACACGTACGGTACCAGGGGCATTTCTGCAAAGGCCCCGAGGGCAGAACTGAAAAATGCGGTATTTGAAAGTGGGGCCCGAATTGCAGCATGGCGCCAGTTGTCCAAAATCCTACGGTACCAAAGGAGGGGTTTGGAAAAAGGGTGCCAGGCAGAAAACGGGATGCAGTCGAAACAGCAAAAGGATAGACCAGGGATCGAGCCCTGGCAGAGTCCGTAACACAAACCGTTTCATAAGATAATATTGTACTGCCTACCTCATGGTTTTCCAGCTCGATGCTGTGCCGAGCCTGCAAAACACCCTGCCGGCATGCTTGGAGGGCAGTTTTCTACCCTGGAAAGGTACTGGCGGTTTAACAATTACATTGCATAGACCACAAAAAAATGAGTGCACCACAACACAGAAGGCACTACCAACAAGAAAGCACCGAACCTCCAATGGCCCGAAAGAATTGGAAGAGCCCTCTGAGCCAGCCCACAAAGCCACAAAATAACTGGCAGAGGATATCCACAAAATAACACCAGGAGCACTACTCTGAGCCTCCCATCTTCCATGTGATCCAAAAGAGCGGCCCATGGGAGTGACAACCACAGCAAAGACTCTCTGAGCCTCCTCGTGAAGATACCGTGGTCATGACTCCAAACAAACATTCCCGACAAAAAACTGTGTGTGTGTGTCTGTGAGAGAGAGAGAAGATGGGGGCATCAGGGTCATGCTACTTCCAGGTGGGGGAGACTCACCACAAACGACTCCACACTTCGCTATGGACGAGCTTTGTTCCGACTGCAAGTGCTGCTGAGGTTGAGCCAAAGAAGTCTCTTCAAGCTAAGCCTTGCCTCGCCTCTACCTGGGATCTTCTTGCACCCGTACGATAAAAGAGGTTCAGGTGTTCAAAGTTTGACATCTCCACTGTTACTCGCATTCTGTCACTTGTTACTCCCTTCGAGGTCAAATACTGAGGTGTCATAGGCTCATTCAGTCTTATCTAGGAGACCTCTCAGCTCAGCTCAAGCTAGAAAGGTGATCTGTGCAAATTTTCTCTTTTTCATTGGTCTCTATACTCTGCTCTACCTCTTCCCGCTCTGGTAAGCTCGTCAGGCCTAGTGGAGCCCTTGCTGCTTTATCCCAAAATTTTATCAGCTCCATCCAGGTGAAAAACATATGCTGAGGCTCCAACTTCCCTTTGTTGGGCTCTGCACGCTGCTTTCTGCCCTTCTTGCACCCGAGTTCAGCGGATGCCCCTTTATGGAGCCGGTGCTGTCCTCTTGCGAAGCGGTTTGGTTATCCTGTGATCCATTGTGTGCTGGGAATGTGCTGAGAAAGGTTATGCTTGGAATTCAGAACTGACTCAACTGAGGTGAAATTAGTGTCGGTTTCTTTTTGGAATGGGGGTTCGTCTTTCTGTGCTCCCTTTTGTGTTGAGCTAGCTCGAGCTCAGTGCTCCAAACTGAAACCAAGTCGTGATAGCTTAGATCATTGGTATGCATTTCCCGTTTTTTTTCAAGTTCTTTTATGCGAGGCTCGCTCGGAGTCAGTGTCACAGACCAGGGACAGATGAATCATGACGGTCTAGTTCCTTACTGTGGAGTTCGGTCATCAGTGAGCTCCTTATTGTCGAGCCGCTTGAGCTCAGTGTAAAGGGCCAGAGAAAACTTATAATGACTTGGTCCCTTGATATCCGTCTCGCTCTCCATGAAATCCTTTGCACCGAGCCCAGTCTGGCCTGACTCTGTAGGCCAATGACCTCAATAACTCTGAAAAGCAGATCAGCGGGCAGTAGTCTGTCGCTTGGGGCTGTATCGTGGGGGGGAGCCTTCTGGACCGCCACGCACGGCAGGTGCCAAGCAAGAGGCAGAGGCATCACAAGAAGAACAGCAACAATTGGCAATGAAGGTGTCGGTACAATGGCTCGAGCTGGGTCCTAGTGTTTCAAAGGGTTCAAAGAGAGCCTTCCCCCCCGACAATGTGACGATCAATCAACACACACACACACACACACACACACACACACACACAGAGAGAGAGAGAGAGAGAGAGAGAGAGAGAGAGAGCTTCCCATTGTGGCATGCTTGTCGTCACCATCACGTGGCAGCAGACCCGGAATCAGAAAAAGGGACTCACTCCACTACTCACCAAATGTGCGAGAACATTGGAAGATACACCACCATATTTTCAGATTTTTGAAATGCCTCTGGTAAGTAGTGGAGCAAGGCCCAAGCATCGAACCTGCTATGTGCTTGTATTCGAACATTGGTGGCCGTGGCCCATGCAGTGCAGCGCCGAGTGGCGGGACCTGAAATGATACGAAACGACACGGCACACACCCAAAAAAAGGTTGTTCCCCTCAAGGACACTCACGGCACCAGGACAGGAAAAAAAGGTGAGATGGGGCAAGGAAGTTTGAAGCAACTAGATCGGGACACCAGGTGAGGAGATGAGATGGACTACAGCGAGAGCATTTCAGGGCATGACGATCGATCAACAGTGAGAGAGAGACAGAGAGGGAGACCTCTTATCTTCCTCTGGTGTGGCATGCTCATCGTCACTGTGGTGTAGCAGCAGATCAGGAATCAGAAAAAGGGACTCGCTCCACTACTCACCAACTGTGCAAAGCGGGAATGAATCTTCCGCTAGAACGTTGGAAGATACACCGCCATATTTTCAGAGTTTTGAAATGCCTCTGGTAATTAGTGAAGCGAGGCCCCAGAATCGAACCCACTATGCACTTGCATTCAAACATTTATGGCCGCGGCCCATGCAGTGCAGCGCCGAGTGGTGGGACCGGAAACAATACGTAACAACGAGGTGCGGCCCCGCCCCAAAGAAAAGGCTGCTCCCCTCGAGGACACTCGCAACACAAGGACGGGAAAAAAAGTGAACCGCTGCACTGCATCATCTCGATTCAAGAGTGGGACAACCCCGAAAAAATCAGCTTCCCCAAGAGGCCCACCCCAGTCCCGCGCCCTTTCCCGACACAGGGCGCAGTCTCGCATGGGCCCGTTACGCGAGACCTGCTTTTATAAGGAGTCCAGATATAGAAAGAAGAAAAAGGAAAGAACTCTGGCAAGGCAAAGAGATCAGGAAAGCGTCGCAGGAAGGGACAAACCTGGTTGAAGAGCCAGATTTCACCATTGCCCGTCGGCCTGGGAACACCATGACCGTTGTAATGGAAAAGTACTCTCTCATTTTTTGCAACTTTCCGGCAAGCATGGCAAAGCTTCTTCACATCTTCCGCAGGCGGATCCAACAACAGCTTGTACTTTGCCTGTGTAGCATCAAGACATGGCAGCAGAGATTAGATCCCAAAGACGTCAAACCAAATGCCAGTGGAAACCGGGGAAGAACCATCCACAGCTCCAGCTTTCTGATCACAGCACGGTCAGAGCAGACAAAAATATCCCTTATCACCAAGTACAATCTTGGAGACTACCACAAACACTCCCCATCCCCACAGAAGCCAAAATGACATCTACTAACAGGAAACAAAGGTCCTAGGAAATATTGTGAAATAGCACGGAAGAGGTCTGGAAGTTTGTAGCGAGTCCATATCCCAACAGAATGTGCATTTCAGAAGTAGCGAATCATCATACAAGAACATGGACGAACGAGATCGAGAAGGGAGAGACATAGAGGACGAGGAGAAGAGTTTCATTAATAATCAATAATACCTGTATGTTGCTCTTCAGTCCCACTTCCTCTTCGGGCTTCTCTCTATTGCCACCTCAGCCATGCTTGCTCTCCTCTGACGACCTCTCACGTAGTCACTGTGCGGACCTCAGCAAAATGCCCACCCTCCTTCCACGGTCATCATTGAAATGTGGAGGGTGGCGCTGTCCTTCCTCAATTTCGTGGAGACGAGCATCAGATCAATAACACTGGTGCCCGGTAAGTCCAGGTAACCTTCCCCTCACACCTCTCATCAGTCCCACAGCCCTGATCCTCCTCATCACCTATATCTGCGGCTATGGCAGCTAAATGGCCGCTTCAGCATGTCCTCCAAATAGGCTGGTGCCATCCAGCACTATCTGCCGTCAGCATCTCCCTACACCAGCTTCCAGTTGTCGTAGCAATACCCGTACAAGGGTATTTGTCGTCGTTTTGCAGGTCGCACAGGTGCAGTCATGACGACATGCCAAGCATTGGCACGTCTGAACGCGCGGCAACCCTAGCTGTGGCACAGTGAGCATGAGTAGGGAAAGGTTAGTGAGGATGCTCGTTATTGCATCGTGTGCCATCTGGTTGGATAGCCGTCGGCCTTGGCAGTCTGTGGGCTAGTCCGCGAGCTCGTGCGGTGCGTGCAGGCGCAATGACTTCGGCTCATTAGGCTGGCCGCGCACGTGGGGCGTGCGCATTTCGCCGTGGTGCATCACTAGCCGCCATCCGGCGGCTCGGTTTGCAATATTTCGGTTACCTCGTTCAGGCAGGACGCGCTGAGTGTACGCGTTCGCGATGTTGCGACCCCATAGCTTCGTTTGTTTGTTTCTACGTTGTTATAATAGTTGGTTAGGCGTTTCCTTTATTTGTTTACTGGAGGATTCAGACCCCGCTGGCAGAGTCCGACATAGTGCAAAGGTCGGGCCTTTGCGGCCATACACCAAGGGCACGACCCTTGGAATTCTTCCCAATGTAGAGACGGGGCCGGTAGGCCCTGGGTCTGCTGGTACTCTTCGGCACGGCCACGACGAGGCTTTTGCAGCCTTAGTTCCATTTGGTAGGGGTGGATCCGCGGGGAGGCCTCTTTATATTGTGTTTCACGCTGCTCCACACCAACCAGAGGCCTAGCTCAGTAGGTAGAGCGCACAATTTGGATGTGTTGGAAGGGGTTCGAATCTGGTGGCCGTACGTGCGAGCGAAGAAAGCAAAACCTGGAGGAACCGGGGAGGTGGAGAGCCCTCTCGGTTTCGTTCTTTTGCTCTTTTTCCTCCTCCGGGACGCCATCCGTAGGACTACCAACGAGCCTGACTCTGTTGGTACACCCACGAACTGTTGAATCACAGGGCCCCAGCTCGAATCCTTACTGTCTCCGATTGTGATTTTGGGATTACCGAGGCCTGATAAGGCCTGCGAGATCCGGTCATGGGACTGCCGCTCGACCAACAGGCCCAGCTCAGTCCGTACACCGAAGAACTGTTAAAATACAGACCTAAGTTCAAATCCAGATCAGATGCAATCTGATGAACAACATAAAGTTATACCGACTTACCTGCAAACGATCTGCTCTACAGAGTCCCATCTTATTCATCGTCCTTCGGGACATCCATTAAAACTGGAACGATACAGAGACGATTGGCATAGTCCCTGCTGCATGCCATACCCAGGCCAGCCTCATCCAAAGGGCGTATAAAGAGGCTGACCGCACGAGCGACAGGCCATTTGACAATTTTATTGTTGTTCAACTGGACAGCAGTGGGACTGGGCGCTGGAGTGCTGGGCTGCATGGAGAGGTAGATGAGAAAAAGGGTGCGCAAAGGAGTCGAGGAGGAGTGAAGAAAGGAGAGCGGGAGTTAAAAATGTCCACCTTGCTCGTTCCTCCACGGAATCGAGCGAGATAAGATGCTAGGCAGCAGTTTTTCGACATAGCAGAGTGGCTGGCCGCATCAGATTTGGCATTGCGGTAACTGCCTGTTCGGTATGGGCATTGGACGCTGTGCGTGGAAGAAAGTACGAGTGGGGAGAAGAAACCGATTGTGCATGCCGTCGTTCTACGTGGTCGTCATCACCTTCTTGGTCATGCTCGTGCTCGTCGTTAAGGCCGAGGTCTTGATCGTGCTCTTTGTGCTATGCTCGAGGTCCTTGTTAGTTGAAGATAGTTATGCTCGTCATCTTCGCTGCGCCTGGAAGAAAGTACGAGTGGGGAGAAAAAAMCGATTGTGCATGTCGTCGTTCTACGTGGTYGTCATCACCTTYTTGGTCATGCTCRTGCTCGTCGTTAAGGCCAAGGTCTCGATCGTGCTCTTTGTGCYATGCTCGAGGWCCTTGTTAGTTGAAGATAGTTATGCTCGTCATCTTCGCTGCGCATGGAAGAAAGTACGAGTGGGGAGAAGAAACCGATTGTGCATGTCGTCGTTCTACGTGGTTGTCATCACCTTCTTGGTCATGCTCGTGCTCGTCGTTAAGGCCAAGGTCTCGATCGTGCTCTTTGTGCCATGCTCGAGGACCTTGTTAGTTGAAGATAGTTATGCTCGTCATCTCCGCGGTCGCCATCCGCATGCGCGCGGTCGCAGACGCCTTCCTGCTCGTAATCGGGTTTGTGATAAAGGAGCAATTTCGTTTGGAAGTTTTTCTGAACCAAGTTGGGTTAGGTACATTCATAAACGAGAGTGCGGATGAGGAAAGGAGAAGGGAGAAAAAACAGGTCGTGGGCGACTATATGGCGGATTATCTTCCCATGTTATGGCGGAAGATTTGTTCTCATTTTGCATACTTGGGGATAAGTAGAACAGCACTCATGATCGCACTCTTGACAAGTAGAACAGCGCCATGGGTTACCCCTCTTTTGGGGTCTATTATGCAATAAGCTCAAAATAACCGAAACATAGAAAGTCGACAGTCTAGCCTTGCTCACACGAGATTACAATATCGACGGTTCGACAAAGGAGGAGAATGATAAAATTTTTGAAAGGCGACTAATAATAGTAATAATAACAATAATAATAACAATAATAACAAATACAGGAGACATAAAAAGACACGCAGCACTACTACAATCCAACGCCACTATACCATTCGGGTGAAATGGCGGTTCGATTCAAGGTGCAAAGACGACACGCAACCCCTCCAGCTTTCCTGTTTTCTTTTCCTTTTATGTCCTCGTCCCCCTTTCGTTTTCTTTGTGACTATAACTCGTTGCACATATCCCATAATTCTTCTCAGGGTACTCCGCGCGCAATAGAAAAGACCACACCGGTCTCTCTCCCCCCACGTCCCTGGACGAGCCCGACGGCTACCACGACCATAGGCCGGTCGTGCTCTGCTGTACAGCAGGGCGCCGAGCCTGCGTGGACCAAAGGAAAGTCCACTGGCGCACCCACCCTTTTGCCCGTGGGTGCGTCGACTAAACCAATCCTACAGTAAAACCGAAATGCCGCGAAGTTCCTCAAACGATCCACAGTAAAAGTATGTGAGCAGGCGTGAGTGGGCGCCTGGTGCGCAGTGGAGGCACGTGAGCAGACACTCGGTACACAGCAGAGGTACGTCAGCAGGCACTCGGTACACAGCGGAGGTACATGAGCAGGCCCTCGGTACACAGTGGAGGTACGTGAGCAGGCACACAACAGAGGGTCGGACACCGCGCCCTCCGACACTGGACGTCTCAAGAGGCATAGTTATTGTCCAAGCTGGCACGTCGACAGGGGGCAGCCCCAAAGTGGGGCAAACTTGTTGAGAGTTTCCGTTACCGATATGACGGTCACCAAACTTTCCACACCAGGGCTAACGAGTCCCCAACCTCCAGCCACACTTTGGTGATTACCTACTTGGTAAAGGGGGCAAAAGAGGGGGTGAAGGGTGCCACGTATGACAGGATTGCTGACTACATATTCCGCAGGGAGAGCGATTGGAGGGATAACTGGCTACACGTGGTGTTCCCTCGCGTACCTTCAACACCTGGGCGCGTGCTGTTCGATTTTGATGGGTGTAATCCCAAACCCCTCAGTAAGGTGCACAGCAAAGAGAAGAGGCAAAAGGATGAGCGGATCATGGTCGAGATAGCCAGATCCGAGATCTCAATCACTACATGCACGCAGAGATCGGAGACCGATGAGTCTAACCTAGACCCTTGCAGCGTAAGCGACATCGATCTTGGTAGCCACTTTGATTGAGACACTCATAGGGACTGAGTCTGCTGGTGCTAACCCGAGCTCTGGAGACCGGTGAGCAGCGGCGGAGGAAGGCGACATTGAGACGGATTGCATATCTTCTTGCAGGTATCTGCTTGAGCGAGACTAAATCCTACATGTCAGACAAGCCTAAGACTGAGGAAGTTGTTGGACCCCCAAGAGGGGAGGGGCCAGTTCCATATCTTGGAAATGGCTGAAGTCATTTGGTCGGAGCAGACTTTGCTATGCAGGCTTTTCGAAAGCCCATTTATGAAGACCGTTTCCTTGAGGTTTCACATGTCTACATCGATAGGAAGGGACAGATCGAGATACTGATTGGAGCTACGGACGATATTGCGCTTGCAGAGGGGCTCTACCTCAGGAGCGTTGCGGACGAGGAGATGGCGAGACGCATGGCATACATCAGCAAGATCGATCCCGCAATGTC